CCCTTGGGTCCATGATTACTTCTCATGACAATTCTTTGATGACGCCCACATTTCAAATTATTCATTATTTTGAATAATGCCTTAATTTCAAATGCACTCTGTACTCCCACTTTTTCTCCTGTATTATTTTTCCTTACATTAGTTTTGCACCTTTTATAATCTTGCGTTGAGAGTTCTAACTTCTGATATTTCCCAAGTGGCATCCCTGGAACGCTACTGTGAGGGGGATTATGGATCCAGTGATTTGGAATCTCCCTCATCTTGCTCCGACTCAATCCCTGCTTTCTTCCTTTGCTCTTCTGGTTCCTTGCATCCTCCCATCTGTCCCATCTAGCCTTTCCTTTGTCCACCTCCTTCAAAAGGTGTTTCCAGTATGAATTGGCCTCAGCTTTCCTTGACTATCTCTCTCAGGTTTCCTTCCTGTTTCTCTTGCCCTCTAGGAATTCATGTACAAAGTAGACATTATATTATCATGTTCTTAGGAGGCATTTGCATCTACAATTTTGTTCCCTTCTTTAATTATGTTTTCTTTTATTATTTATATATATTTTATTACACACCCTTTAAACTCTCTCATTTTCCCTGATTGGCATTAATTTTACATAATGCCATTGGTTGATTAATGTATTTCTCTCCTGCTAGAACACAAGCTCATTTGGCTATTCATTTACTGTTCAGAACTCAGAAAAAATATACATACTTTGTATATAATAAATATCTTTATCACACCATTCATCATTTCATTCAAGAGAATGAAAGTAGTCACAAATGCTTGCTGAATTTTTTTTAAAACACCATTTTGTCTGGAATTCCTCCCAATTTCTGTAAGAGTTGAGATGTATCTGACTACAGGGTACAGAGAATCTAATACAGACTTACAGCAAAGGACACTGGATGTTTACTTAGCCATAAGCCACAGGAGAGCATTTCCAAGGTAGACTTGAGGTTCAATGTCCTCAACTAGGATCTAGGTTCTTCCCATATTCCCTCAGAACCCTTGAGCTCTTTAGATTCTTCAGGGTTTTTTCGTTTTCTTCCCTACATTTTAATCATTAAGCAGTTTCTTATAGAAATGTTTTCTGATTAAAGTTGTCTTTTGAAATATTTGCTTTCTTAACAAACAGATTTCCTCAATGACTTGTTTACATATGCATTCAGTGTCTGCACTCTAATTCTTTTTCTTTCCAAAGGCACTAAGACATGTTACATTTTCAAAAGAAGAGCAAGCTTATTTGCCCCTTCCTTTCCACTCCTCATGTGGACTTGTTTCTCAATGTATTAGGAGCCTCAGAAGCTAGGAAAATTTCATCTGTTCCTTTTATAATTGCCAGTAGCCCTTCACAGGTGCTGAATGTACTTTATATGTCCTTTCTCTTTATGATTAATCAGAGACATGCATGTATTAAAAGGAAGCAATTTGAATCAGGGTTTTAGAGCCAATAAGTACTGGTCATATTATAAACATCTTCTATTAACTTATTTGTACTAAATTTCTTTATGTATTTGCTTCTTGTGCGCATCAGGAAGTCCCAGAACACAGTGTATTTTATTTCCCACTTTGTTCCACCTTTTCCAACATCTTTCACAGAAAGAAAGAAAGAAGCTAGGTTTCTATGGTAACACATGTGTGACAATTGAGGGTATCTGGATATAGGTGAGATAACTCCCTTTCAGATCCAGTGGGGAGAAAAGAAATGAAGTTTCTCTCTCTCTCTCTCTCTCTCTCTCTCTCTTTCTCTCTCTCTCTCTTCCCCTCTCCCTCTCTTTTCTCACAGAAACATACTTCTGAAACTGCAGGGACCCCACAGTGTCAGTGTATAGTGTTGAGTTTCTATTGTCATAAAGATTTACTGCTCTTGGGGGAAAATTCATTTTCACCTTATCTTTTTTTTGTTTTCTTTCCTACAAAAAATGAAGATATATATTTTTATTTCTAAAATCAAGCCTGGAATAAAGGTTATACAGACACATAAATGAACATGATCACGGGATCAGGAAATAGACACCAATCTCCCACCCAAATCTTCAAATTCTCTAAATGTCCTCACATCCTTCTTACAGCAGCTAACCTTTTAACCACTATGCTACATACAGCCACAAATCAAAGGAGCCCTTCCATCTCTGCCCCTCCCAGACTCCGCCAGCTTCGGCCTGGTCTCCATACCACCAATATCCAAGCCAAAGTAGATACAAAAAATAAACTACTACCCATTGTGTTTCTTTTGCTTTATGGCAATGAATGGGAATGAAAACTGAGGCCTGTCATATGAGAAACATAAATGGTCGCAATCACTCCATGGGCTGCAGTTTCTACACTTCTCCCTATTGAAAAAGTCAACATGATGAAAGGTCAGGGAAAATAGCTTGAGGAATGTCAAAAAGCTATTTTTCTAAGTGGGGTGCTAGGTTGCCCCCTCACTATTTTTGTAACAACTGCTATTAGATGCACTACAATCTAGAGCTTCCCAACTTTGGGGGACCTAGGAATAATGAAAACAGATGCCTAAATTTACCTTGAGTATCCATAACCCCAATGCAAAATTCTCAAAAAAAAAAAAAAAGAAAAAGAAACATCATGGTATCTTTATCCCTTGCAAAGTGAATGAATTGTCAGTACTACTGTAATGCAAGGTTCAACATGGCTGTCATGACCTTTACAGACAGAGTTTGATGATTCTTGACTCAACTTAATCCTCAGCAAGCATAGGAACTTCTTATCATCAAGATGCACAATTTGCAGCTTACAAGAGACAGTCTGTCCTCAGAAAAATGAAGCTGCTACTAATCATAAAAACACATATCAGTTTTACACAAAATATGAGACTTCTATAAAACTAGGTGAACACTGTATTTACCTATAAGATCCTCTTGAATTATAGCCATTGTTGCTCAGGTATGACATATCCATGTAAGCTCTATGTTTAAATTTACTTCTTTACATTACTAGATTAGATTGAAATATGATTCTTGTCAGTTAACATTTCTGATATTTTATTTTTCTCAGAGTGCTTTCACCACGATTCTGGTAGTTCAGATTTAACTTCTCATAGTTTGTCAATATGTAACCAAGAAGTAATAACTGAATTATACTCCCAGTCCTCATATCCATGGGTTCTGCAACCACAGATTTAACCAATCACAGATCAAATTCTGCATCTGTACCCAACATGTACTACCTTTTCCCCCTAGTCTTTATGCCCTAAACCATACAATATAGCAATTATTTGCATAGCATTTACATTATATTAGGCATTATAAGCAGTCTAGAAATGACGAAGTATAGAGAAAGATGTGTATAGATCATATGCAAATATACCATGTTATGTAATCTGCAGATTTTGGGATGTGTGTGTTGAGTATCCTTTCTGAAAACAATCTTCTGGTTATCAGAGACAACTGTATTTTACTGAGGAACAATTGCAATTTATATTTTAAGTTTGACAGGATATTTGTCCTCAATTATTTTAAACAAAAACTTGGTGCGTGTTATACTACAGCAAGGTAATGCAAACATAGTTATCTACTAACATAATCATATAATGGAGCTATCAGAGCAGGAGGACACTGAAAAACCCGAGTACACCTTTATAGTAATTTGAAAGTTGATAGAAAAGGTGGGGAACATCTGTTTTTTAGAGAAACTCAGATCAAAATCCTCTCTAGGATGACCTTGTGGGAAAGAAGAATGGTGGGTAGGTATACTAGGATTTAACATTAAAACTACAGAAATGTATTGTTCTCAAGAAATGTGAGATAGCAAGGGACACGAGGAGACCTGTTCGAGAAGGAAATTTTTAGAAAAACTAAATACAGCAACCAGTGATTACAAAAAAAAAAAAAAAAAAGCACAGTGGAGGATGATTGAAGATGTAAAGCTTCTTAAATATGATCGTACGGGAGAAGGTGTGCAACTAAGTTCTAATATCAAAGACATAGTGCTAAATTTTTAGTAGTGAAAGAAAAAAGAAATGTTTTAGAAGGCACGCATGGAAGACCAAGGCGACTGCAGCACGGTGCCTCCTAAGGACCGGAAAATTTCTCACCCTAAAGACAAAAGTCCCTGTTTTCTCGATTCAGCCCACATCCCTCAGCACCACTTCCATGCCCATCTTTCAGGCAGAATGCCACGGAGACGACGTTAAAAGCAGAATTCATCACTCTCGCCTGCCAACGCACCCTGTTCCTTTGCCAGAACAGAGCACGGCAACGAGCCCTTCCATCTCCGCCCCTCCCAGACTCAGCCAGCTTTGGCCCGGTCTCCATACCACCAGCCCCCGGAGGCAAGGGAATTGCGAGTTCTGGTTGGCTCGGCCCAAACCTCCGTCATTCATCAGCTCACCCATGATTGGTTGGCAGAGCGTGCGCAAGAGCAAATGCCCAGCCTGGTGAGGCTCTGGGAGGTGGGTTGGCTGAGTCTAGACTAGGGTTTTCCCCATTGGTTGAAGTTGGTCGGTGGGGGGAACACAGAGCACCGAACATCTCTCTATTGGTTGTGAGTGGTACCATGGGGTGCACAGGCGTGATCTAATTGGTTAAAACGAATCCCAGCTTCCTACTAGATGCCCCCAGCAGGCTGTTGCTATGAGGTATCTCCGAGTCTTCCCGCTGCCGGTGGGAGCTCCGTTTTCCAGGTTTTCCGTTCGCCGGTGGCTGTCAGGGCGTGGGAAGAGCTCGACTTGAGGGCACCGAAAAGGGGCGGGTCTGGAGGACGTCATCGGGCGTGGACCTCGCTTACGTGGTGTCTGGGCGCCCCTGACTAGCTCTAGGGCGTAGGGCCGAAGGGCCCGCTCTCCCCTTCCTCAGTGTCTGGGCGTTTGAAACCAAGCTACATCTCATTGTTTCACCAGCCTCAGGCAGAGACCTGGAGGCGCTTCTCTCCTTAAACAAAGGTTCACATCGTTCTGTTTATACAAGAACGAAGACCCCCGGAATACTCTGGGTGGTGTAGAGCAGGGGCACCCAGTGACTCCCTTTGGACATCGCGCATGTAGTCTTCTCACCTTCCACCCTGGAAGTTCCCATGGCCCCTCTACCTCATCTTCTCTGCCAAATTCTGAGCGTGGGAGTCTCAAATGGACTTTGCCCCTGCCGCAAGCGGGAAGCGCGCACGCGCATTTCGCAGGCGCTAGGGTTTGCCGCGGGTGTGCGGGGTTGGGTGTTGCCGAGCGGACGTAAAGCTTGTTTATCCCAGGGCGGGACTATGCTTCTGCGCGGCGCAGGGCCTCCCGGGAGCGCGCGCGGCCGGTTGCCTAGGCG